TATTTTTTATTGATATCAGAGAGGAAGGGAGAGGGAGAGAGAGAGAGAATGAGAGAATCATTAATCAGCTGCCTCTTGCACTCCCCCTACTGGGGATCAAGCATGCAACCCGGGCATGTGCCCTTGACAGGAATTGAACCCAGGACTCTTCTGTCCACAGGCCAATGCTCTATCCACTGAGCCAAACCAGCTAGGGCTCAATATGTCTTTTTTATGCCAGTATAATACTGTTTTGATAACTGTCATTTGAAATCAGGAAGTGTAATGCCTCCTGATTTGTTCTTTTTAATAGTGCTTTATCTACTTAGTGTGTCTCTTGTGGTTCCATATGAATTTTAGGATTTTTTTCCATAAATTGCCATTTGGGACTTTGATAAGAATTGCATTAAAATCTGTAAATACTTTTGGGTAGTTTAGACATTTTGACAATGTTAATGTTTCCAGTCCATGAGTATGGAATATCTTTTCATCTATTTGTGTTTATGTTATTTTTTTTCTTTCATTATTTTCCTCAGTATTAATTAGTTTTCTGTTTATTAGCCTTTCAGCTCCCTGGTTAACTTTATTTCTAAGTATATTATTCTTTTTGATGCTTATGTAAATGGAATTATTTTCTTGATTTCCTTTTCAAATTTTTGTATGTTGATTTTGTATCCTGCAACTTGACTGAATTTATTACTTTTAACAGTTTTATTATGAAGTCTTTAGGGTTTTCCACACATAGGATCATGTCATACAGAGATGATTTTACTTCTTCACTTCTAATTTGGTTGCCTTTTATTTTATTCTTGTCTAATTGCTCTCACTAGGACTACTATGTTGAATAGAAGTGAGAAGAGTGGACATCCTTGCCTTGTTTCTAATCTTCAAGGATCAGATTTAAGTTTTTCACTGTTGAGTATGAGGTTTGCTATGGGCTTTTCATATATGGCCTTTATTATGTTAAGGTAAATTCCTTCTATTCCTAATTAATTGAACATTTTTATCATGGACTTTGTCAGTGCTTTTTCTGCATCAATTGATATGATCATGTGATTTTTATTCCTCATTCTGTTAATGTGGTGTGTCACAATTATTGATTTTCATGTGTTAAACATCCTTATGTTCCAGAGATAAACACCCTTTGGTCATGGTGTAAGACCCCTTTAATGTGCCTTTGAATCTGGTTTACTAATTTTATGTTGAGGATTTTTGCATCTATATTGATCAGGGATATTGTCATGTAGTTTTCTTTTCTTGTAATATCTTTTTCTGCCTTTGGTATCAGGATAATGCTGGCCTCATAAAATTAGTTTGGAATTGTTTCCTCCTCTTCGATATTTTGGAAGAGTTGGAGAAGGATTGGCATTAGTTCTTTAAGTGTTTGATAGAGTTCACCCATAAAGCTATCTAGTTCTGGTGCTTTCTTTGTTGGGAGGTTTTGATTTCTGATTCAATCTCATTGCTAGTTATAAATCTGTTCACATTTTCTACTTTTATATAATTTAGTCTTAGTGTAGGTTGTATGTTTCCAGGAACTTATTATCTTCCAGTTTAACCAGTGTGTTGGCAAAGAATTGTTCATAGTAGTCTTTTATAATCCTTTTTATTTATATGGCATTAATTATAAGGTGTCCTCTTTCATTTCTGATTTTATATGAGTCTTTTTTATTCTTAGTACTGTTAAAGGTAGTCAATTTTGTTGATTTAAAAAAAAAAAAAAAAACTAGCTCTTGTCCTGATCAGTTTGGCTCAGTGGATAGAGCGTCAGGCCATGAACTGAAGGGTCCCAGGTTCGATTCTGGTCTAAGGGCATATACCTTGGTTGCAGGCTCGATCCTCATTAGAGTGTGTGTAGGAGGCAGCTGATCAATGTTTCTCTCTCATCATTGAAGTTTCTATCTCCTCCCTTCCTCTCTGAAATCAAGACACACACACACACATGTGTCTGTGTATGTATGTATATATATATATATATATATATATATATATATATATATATATATATATATATATATATATATATATATATATATATATATATATATATATATATATATATATATATATATATATATATATATATATATATATATATATATATATATATATATATATATATATATATATATATATATATATATATATATATATATATATATATATATATATATATATATATATATATATATATATATATATATATATATATATATATATATATATATATATATATATATATATATATATATATATATATATATATATATATATATATATATATATACATACATACACAGACACATGTGTGTGTGTGTGTCTTGATTTCAGAGAGGAAGGGAGGAGATAGAAACTTCAATGATGAGAGAGAAACATTGATTGGGTGCCTCCTGCACACCCCGCACTGGGAATAGAGCCTGCAACCTGGGCATGTACCCTGCCCGGAATTGAACCATGCCCTCCTGGTTCATAGGTCAATGCTCAACCACAGAGCCATACAGGCTGGGCTTTCTCAAGATATTTTCTAATTTCACTTTTAATTTTTTCTTTGACATATTAGTTAATCAAGAGTAATTTATTGAGCCCTAGCTGGTTTGGCTCAGTGGATAGAGTGTTGGCCTATGGACTGAAGGGTTCCAGGTTCGATTCCGGTCAGGTAACATGCCTGCGTGTGGGCTCTATCCCCAGTAGGGGCATGCAGGAGGCAGCCAATCAATGATTCTCTCTCATCTTTGGTGTTTCTATCTCTCTCTCTCCCACTCCCTTCTTCTCTGAGGCCAATGAAAATATATATTTTTTTTAAGTAATTTATTGAATTTGCACATATTTATGAATTTTCTAATTTTCCTTCTGCTATTGAAAGCAAGATATTTAAATCTAATAGTATTGTGTTGCTATTTTCTGTCTTCAGTTCTCTCAATGTTTGCTTCATATATTTAAGTGTTCTGAATGTTGGATCTATATATATTTATAATTGTTATACCTTCCTGGTGCATTAACCCTGTTACCATATAATGTTCTTTTTTGTCTCTTATGACTGTTTTGACTTAAAGTATATTTTTTTCTGATACCCCTGCTCTTTTGGTTACCATTTGCATGAATATTTTTTTCTATCCTTCCATTTCCAGCTTCTATGTGACCTTAAATCTAAAGTGAGTTTCTTGTAGACGGCATACATGGATCTTGTTTTTTATTCATTTGGCCACTGTATGTGTTTGACAAAGGAGTTAAACCCATTTACATGTAAAGTAATTTATTGATGGGAAAGGACTCCCTATTGCCATTTATTAGTTGTTTTCTGTCTTGTAGCTCTTTTGTCCCTCTTTTTCTCTTAATGTCTGCCTTAGTGGTTCATTGATTTTTTTGTAGTCATATGCTTTTTCCTCTCTCATTTTCTTTTGTGAATCTTCTATAGGTATTTTCTTTATGCTTACAGGCTGGGCTTACTTAAAGTTTTAACAAGTTTCTTAGAGTTATAACAATCTATTTTAAGCCAATAAGAGTTTAAGTTGGATCACGTTAAAGAGCTTTTTAAAAAATTTCTGAATAAATAGAATAGTCTCTCTTATTTCTCTGAGGGTATTCATGATAATTTTTGAAGATTTTTTTTTCTTTGTATGGTCTCTGTTTACTCCTATTTGCTTTCCTTTCTGTTGTTTGTTCTGCTCTCTGTCTTTCACGTTAGATTCTTTCCTCAGATGCCTGATGATCCATACTCATATTTATGAGTAGGAGCCAAAAACAGATTAGAAACTTTGAGTACATGAGTGGTTCTTATTGACTTTGAGTTTCACTTTATTTTTTTTAATATATTTTATTGATTTTTTACAGAGAGGAAGGGAGAGAGATAGAGAGTTAGAAACATCGATGAGAGAGAAACATCGATCAGCTGCCTCCTGCATACCCCCTACTGGAGATGTGCCTGCAACCAAGGTACATGCCCTTGACCGGAATCGAACCTGGGACCCTTCAGTCCGCAGGCCGACGCTCTATCCACCGAGCCAAACTGGCTAGGGCGAGCTTCACTTTAAAGTCATCTGGCTGGTCCATTTGTGAGAGAAATTCCCCATCTCAAATTAGTATTTTTAGATCTTTCCTCTTGGGGCTAGTCAGATTCTTCAGAGAAGACACAAACTATTGCTTGGGAGGGTACTACCAGCAATGTAGGAGCCAAATGGTGGAAACTGTCTGGGATATCCTCAGTATTCAATATTAAGTATTTATCTTAATTATCTTGCTTTCAGAAACATTATTCAGACCTTCAACTGTATCTAGCATTCCCCATATTCAGAGAATAAACCTCCAATATTCACCAGGATTGCGAGTGGCCTTTACCCAGCGGCATTATTGAAGGGAAGGGGGTGGGAGAGGAGGTGGGGTATTTTAAAGCAGGGGTCCTCAAACTTTTTAAACAGGGGGCCATTTCACTGTCCCTCAGACCGTTGGAGGGCCGGACTATAGTTTAAAAGAAAACTATGAACAAATTCCTATGCACACTGCACATATCTTATTTTGAAGTAAAAAAACAAAACGGGAACAAATATTTGTATTCGCATGTGGCCCGCAGGCCGTAGTTTGAGGACCCCTGTTTTAAAGTATAGTTGGCTTTTAAACAACTTTTAACCAAACACCTTATTTTAACTCCGCCTTTACATCCATCTCCAGAGACACCTGAAACTATCAATTTCTGAACTGTTTGAGAATTCTTAGGTGTATATTGGATTGGTTTCTGGCTTTTGTCACTGCTGATTAAAGATTCAGCTTTCTTGAGTATACCCATCCAGTATTTTTCAGCTTCCAGAATATTGTTGCTATTGCTTCTTTTCCTTGTTCTTCCTAACCTTGTAGATTTGTGTGTGTGTTTTAATTCTACAGTTTTTGAGATTTTTCTGGAGAGAGTGAAATTAGACGCATGTGTTCAATCCACCATCTTTATCTAAAACTAATGAATTCTATCCACAATGAAATAGTTTCCTTATTTCCTTTATGTAATATTTTTGTTGATATTCGATTTATATTAGGTGTTATACCTGAAGAACCTTAGCCCTCGGGTGACCGAAAGAGATCTTGTCTCATTGTTCGCTCGGTTCCAGGAGAAAAAAGGACCTCTAATTCAATTCCGAATGATGACTGGACGAATGAGGGGGCAAGCTTTTATCACCTTTCCCAGTAAGTAGCTTTATCTGGATAATTACTCAGTTGTAGCATCAGCATTAGAGACTACTTATACCCTTTCTAATTTACTAGTAGATACAGTCCTTTGATTTACCTATAACACATGAGAAGCATGTGCTTAAACAAAGACATGGGAAGAATGGAAGAGAATTAAGCAAAATGTTTTCAATATTCCTCTATCCTGCCTTCTGTGCTTCCTCTCCTCCATTGACTGTGCATGACCACCTTACTCCATTGTCTTCAATTTTTCCCAATCTTGGCCCTTTCTTCTCACTTTATCAAAATTAATTTTACTTTTTTAAAAAACATATATTTTTATCGATTTCAGAGAGTTAAGGGGAGGGAGAGAGAGATAGAAACATCAATGATGATAGAGAATCATTGATCGGTGGCCTCCTGCATGCCCCCAACTGGGGATCGAGTCTGCAATCTGGGCATGTGCCCTTGACTGGAATCGAACCCGGGATCCTTCAGTCCGCAGGCCAACGCTCTATCCACTGAGCCAAATCAGCCAGGGGAAAATTAACTTTACCTTTAAAATTTTTATTTTACCCTTGCTCACAAAGGACTACTAGTGTTTGTAGTCCATTATAATTATATTACTTTTGGGATTCTGATCAGAACACTTACACTTACTTAATGCTCTATTCCTTTAGGACTAAGAAACTATAAGGTAATATGCTAATTCACATAATTAGGGGATGATGATATATTCGTACAACTAGCTTGCATCTTAATACATGATTTCAGTATCCTAATCTAAAGGGAGTGAATAATACAGGAATTTCAGTTTCTCTGACAGACCAAACTATCTTTTTTTTTTTTTTTTTTTTTCGTGCAGGCTGGTTACTAGCTGTTCCTTTCATTATTTCTAAACTATCATCATTTATAAACAGCCTAGTAATCTATGTACAGGCAAGTAATTTACATTTGAGCAGTTCCAAACTCCACTAGTCTTGTACCATCTTTTCTATCTTGTAGGTTTGTGGATGTTCTACAATAGTGGTTTTTAGTCCTTTTAATTGTGAAGGCCCTTTTTAAACTCAATATGATACATTAATTGAGAAAGATATGTGATAAAAAGGCTTTATAAAGTAAGTACTTTCAAATGGATAGCTGTTTTACTAATCATAATAGCAGCTTTCCACATTTTAAAATTTGTAGTACATACATAAATTGGTTCAGTCTAAAGATATTGCCTGTCTACTTTTGATTTCAAAGACTCCGGTCAATAATTGCACTCCTTTCTGATTTTCCACATCAAGGGTCTGAGAAACATAAGTTGAATACTACTACTGTACACTATGTACTATTACTCTGCAAATTTCCTTATACTTACAAGGATTATTACACTTATTTATCTCAATGAGGGCTCCCACAATCACTCTCCCATCAAAAGATAAAAGCAGCAAAATGACCTTAATACCATGATAACCTCTTTTATTTGTGTTGCCCATTTTGAAAATGACTTAATTCTCACAATACCTATAATCTATCTAGGATAGAAGCTTGTGTATTAGTAGTTACAGTTTAGCCTTCTTTTGCACACTATATTTTTTCTTATATTTTTAAATTATGAGCACTCTCAAGCAGCCATTTTAAGTTTTTCCAGCCATTATTTTTAGCCATTAGTTTAATCTTCTTTTTTTTTTAATATATTTTATTGATTTTTTACAGAGAGGAAAGGAGAGAGATAGAGAGCCAGAAACATCGATGAGAGAGAAACATTGATCAGCTGCCTCCCGCACATCTCCCACTGGGGATGTGCCCGCAACCCAGGTACATGCCCTTGACCGGAATCGAACCTGGGACCTTTCAGTCCGCAGGCTGACGCTCCATCCACTGAGCCAAACCAGTTTTGGCCCATTAGTTTAATCTTGCTGAATTATGCAAATATGAGATTATGAAAAAGATAATAAAATCAAATAGCTATATGGCCTAATAGCCTACATTTAACTCCAAGGCAAAAAAAAAAAAAAAGAAACAAATTGGAAATAGAATTGTAATATTAAATCCTGTGTAAATTGATTATTTTTCCTTTCTTTTAGATAAGGATATAGCATGGCAAGCATTCCATCTAATAAATGGATATAAACTACATGGGAAAATTTTGGTGATAGAATTCGGAAAGAACAAAAAACAACAGTCTGATCTCCAGTCTGCTTCTCTCAGATCGTCTGCTACAGAAAACACTACAAAAACCAGTGGCAGCTAGAAGATATATAGATTATGAGTCCCAGGAAGTCCTTCTTGCATCAGAATCTTGGATCTAGGATTTCTATATAGATAGCAATGTGTTTGGAATTGAAGAGAAACTGAGGAAGAAAAATCTAATTAAGATAATCGCTTTAGCTTTTGGAAAAAATTGGTAGAAAACATTTTCTATAATCAAAGACTATACAGGACAGACAAGATACCAAGTGTGAAGGGTAGGGTACAAAGAGTATCATTTTCTCAGGATAAATTACAAAGGATTATTTCCAAGGATATTTTAAATCTTTATACTTTATCTATGGTCTTAAATACTTATCCCTAGAGATAACATTCTTTCCAAGACTGCCACCTATATACAGAACTAAAAAACTAAAAGTTGAAATATTTATTTATTAGAGCCCATTTGTTCCTAATTGTATTCACATCCTATCTAATAAAAGAGAAACATGGTAATTGGTGTACGACCGCTACCCTTCCCATTGGTTAATCAGCGAGATATGCAAATTAACTGTCAGCCAAGATGGCGGCCGGCAGCCAGGCAGCTTGAAGCTAATATGAGGCTTGCTTGCTTCAGTGACGGAGGACTCCAACATTCCCCGCCTGCCTTGCAGGCCTCTGAGCTTGCAGTTAGAAACATTGTTACAAATATAGAAGCTAAACAAAACCCCAAAAACCTGCTTTCAGCCCGCCAGGATCTCAGAGGTGGAGTTGATACAGTGTTTTGATTAAAGAACAC